TTGTTATAACAATAATAATTAATTAAAATGTAATGTTACGCTATTAATTTAATTGTTTAATTTATAAAGATATTTTCTTACAATTTTTCTTACTTTTCATTATATTTAGAATTATCATAGCTCATTTTTGTTAAGTTAAGACATTTTTTACACATTTTACGACAAATAATTTGAATTTTACATTTTCTCTTGCATGTTTAAGTTATCAATTTTTTTTATTATTTATTAGATATTTTTCTTATATATTTACATGAACAATAATTAATTAAAAATTTACATTACCAACTTAATTATTTATGTATAATTTTTTTTACGGTTGTTCTTACATTTTAATAAGTTTACAATTCTCATAACTCTTTATTAGTGTGTTATGACACTTCTGATTTATTTTATAACAAATTATATGAATTTTACAATTTTCTCACTTGTTTATGTTACGTTTTTTTTTTTAATTTTAGCTATTTTCTTATTTATTTACAAAACAATAATTAATTAAAATTTTACATCGATTACTTAATTATTTACGTTAAAATAATATCTTCCTATTGTTATTTTTATCTTCCATTACATTTAGAATTGTTATATTTTTTTTCTTAATGTGTGTTACAACACATTTTATTCATTTTACACCAAATGATATAGATTTTACGATTTTTCTCACTTGTTTATGTTACATATTTTTTTTTTAACTTTTAGTTATTTTGTTCTTATATTTACAAAAACAATGATTAATTAAAATTTTACTTTGTCTACTTAATTATTTATATTACAATAAATTTTTTTACAATTGTTCTTACTTTTCATTACATTTAAAATTATTATAGCTTTTTTTATAATGTTTTACTACATTTCTTATCTATTTTATGGCAAATGATATAAATTTTATGTTTTTCTCACTTGTTTACATTGCTTATTTATTTTTTAATTTTAACTATTTTTTATATATATTTATAAAAACAATAATTAATTAAAAGTTTACATTATCTATTTAATTATTTATGTTACAATAATATTTTCTTATGCTTATTTTTACCTTATATTGCGTTTAGAATTGTCATAACTCTTTCTAACGAATTTTACATCAAATAATATAAATTTTATGTTTTCTTTGCTTGTTTTATGTTACCTACTTGTTTTTTAATTTGTAATTATTTTTTCTTATATATTTATACAAATAATAATAAATTATGCTATAATAATATATTTTTTATGGTTATTCTTATTTTTTATTATATTTATAATTGTTATAACTTTTTTTTAGTATGTTACGACACTTCTTATCTATTTTATTCCAAATTATACTACTTTAACATTACTTCTCACTTGTTTACATTATCAATTTTATTTTTTAATTTTAACTATTTTCTTATATATTTATAAGAATAATAATTAATTAAAACTTTACATTGTCAACATAATTATTTATTTTATGATATTATCTTCTTATGATTGTTTTTGCTTTTCATTATATCTAGAATTGTTATAACTTTTTTTTTTAATATCTTCTTATGATTGTTTTTGCTTTTCATTATATTTAGAATTGTTTATAATTTTTTTAAATGTGTTATGATGTTTTTATTTATTTAACGTCAAATAATACGAATTTTATATTTGTTCTCACTTGTTTACGTTACTAATTTATTTTTTAAGTTCTAACTATTTTCTTTAGATATTTACAAAATAACAATTAATTAAAAATTTACATTACTAATATAATTATTTACATTACATAATATATTGTTATGACTGTATTTAATTTTTTTTACGTTTATAATTGTCATAACTCTCTTTTACTGAATTATGACAATTTATAATCAGTTTACATTAAATGATACTAATTTTATATTTTTCTCACTTGTTTACACTGCCAATATGTTTTTCAACTTTTAGCTATTTTTTATATATTTAAAAAATAAATAATTAAAATTTTACGTTGGTAACTTGATTATTTACATTATAATAATTTCCTTTTATGATTGTTTCTACATCTAATCATGTTTAAAATTGTCATAATTTTTTTTAGTGTGTTACAACACCTTTTACCCATTTTATACCAAATTATAGTAATTTTGCATTTTTCTCACTTTTTTTTTACTTTACTAATTTATTTTTCAATATTTAACTATTTTTTATATATTTAAAAATAATAATTAATTAAAATTTTATGTTACCAATATAATTATTTGTATTACAACAATATCTTATTCAGGGTTGGCAAATATACTCAAACTCGTCAAGTTCCAATTCAATCAGATCCTATATGGTCGATTTTTTTGAAAATCAAATTTTAGATGGGTTAGTTTTTTTGAAAAAAAGTTAGGATCAGAGGTATATATATATATATATATATTATTTATTTAATTATATATATTATATTAATAAAATTATTATGTAATACTTTAATTTAAGATATTAACTTAATAAAAAAACTATATTTTATGTATAATTAAAATATAATTTATATTAAAAAATAATATTTTATGAATATTATATTCAATTAAAATTATTAAATTAATTTCGAGTTGGGTCAAGTCATTATGGTTTTATACATTTGCAGGTCAGGTTTGGTATGAAAGATATTATTTTAATTTCGGGTTGGGTCAATATTAGGTATTTATTTTATAAAATCGAGTCAAAGTCGAGGGGAGCAAAAACCTGCCTAGACTTAATTCGTTGCCATCACAAATCTTATTACGATTGTTTTTATTTTTTATTACATTTAAAATTATCATAACTTTTTTTTAGCATGCTATGGAACTTCTTACTCATTTTACGTTAAATAATACTAATTTTACGTTTCTTCTCACTTGTTTACATTTTTAATTTATTTTTTAATTTCTAGCTATTTTCTTTTATATATACAAAAACAATAATTAGTTAAAAATTTATATTACCATCATAATTATTTATATTATAATAATATATTTTACTGTTGTTTTTACTTTGCATTACGTTTAAATTTGTTATAGGTCTTCTTAGTGTGTTATAACACTTTTTACCTATTTTACTCCAAATAATATTAGTTGTACATTTATCACTTGTTTACATTATCAAATTATTTTTTAATTTTTAACTAATTTTCTTATATATTTACAGAAACAATAATTAATTAAAATTTATGGTATCAACATAATTATTTGCATTACAATAATATATTCTTACAATTATTTTTACTTTTCATTACGTTTAAATTTGTCATAATTCTTTTTTAATATGTTGTGATACTTCTTTCTTATTTTATGCTAAATTATATTAATTTTATGTTTGTATTTACTTGTTTACATTATCAATTTATTTTTTAATTTTAGCTATTTTTCCTTAGATATCTACAAAATAATAATTAATTAAAAATTTACTTTTTTAATATAGTTATTTCTATTACAATTATAATTGTTATTACTTTCCATTCTATTTAAAATTATCATAACTCTTTTTAGTGTATTATGACAATTAATATACAATTTATGCTAAATGATACTAATTTTACGTTTTTTTTCTAATTTGTTTACATTACTAATAGATTTTTTTTTAATTTTTAGCTATTTTTCTTATAGTTTGAAAAATAGTTAATTAAAATTTAAGTTGACAACTTAATTATTTATGTTACAAGAATTTTTTATGGTTGTTTTTACATTTAATTACGTTTAAAATTGTAATAGTTTTTTCTTATTGTGTTATGATATTTTTTTATCTATTTTACATCAAATAATATTCATTTTATGTTTTTTCTTGTTTTTTAAGCTTACCTAATTATTTTTCAATTTTAAGCTACTTTACTTACATATTTAAAAAATAATAATTAGTTAAAATTTTATATTGCTCACATAATTATTTACGTTATAATAATATCTTATTACGATTATTCTTACCTTCTATTATATTTAGAATTGTTATAACTCTTTCTTAATATGTTGTAATATTTTTTGTCTATTTTATATCAAATGATACTAATTTTACATTTCTTCTTATTTGTTTATGTTATCAATTTATTTTTTAATTTATAGCTATTTATATATATATATAAATAATAATTAATTAAAATTTATATTGTCATATCATTATTTACGTTATAACGATATATTTTGACATTTGTTCTTATTTTCTAATTTTTGTCTTAATGTATTATAACACTTTTACATGTTTTACGTTAAATAATACAAAATGAATATTACATTTCCTCTCACCTATTTATGTTACCTATATTTTTTATTTATTAGATATTTTTCTTATATATTTATAAAAATAATAATTAATTAAAAATTTACATTGCCAACTTAGTTAGTTACATTTCAATAATATTTTTTTATAATTATTTTTATATTTTATTATGTTTAAAATTATTATAACTTTTTCTTAGATGTTATAATATTTGTAACATATTTTACGATAAATAATACAAAATTTACTATTCCTTTTACTTGCTTATGTTCATAATTTTTGATTAATTTTTTATTCTAAAATATTATTTTTTTTTATCTTTAAAAGCATTTTAACTATTTTTCTTATATATTTTAAAGAAAAATAATTAATTTAAATTTTATGTTAAATAAAATTTCTAGTGCTTTTCTTACATTCAATTATATTTAAAATTTTTATAACTAATTTTTTCACATGTTACGATAATTTTATTATATTTTACATAAATTAATATAAATTTTATTATTTATCTCATCAATTATGTTAATAATTTTTTATTTTATTTTAAAATATAAATCCTTTTAAGTTAATTTTTTCTTTGAAAGAATTTTATATTAATATTTTTAATTTCTTTGGAAATTTTTTATTATATAATACTTTTTAGTTATTTTAGGAGATACCAATTACATTAAACTTTTTTTTAAAGGAATACTTTTAATTTTAATTGTTTTATTTTTAAGTAATTTCAAAAAAATGTAATAAAGTAAAAAATAAAGTAAATTATTTAAATTTTGTATAAAATTTTATAAATTTTATTTTATAACTTCATTGCTTGATAAATAAATTTCACCTTTGTCAACTTTAAAATTTAATTATATAAATTTAATGATTATTATTTGCTGTCCGGGTAGAAACCTTGAACTCACCGTAGAACTCCCCCGTCTCACCACACCCGCGACAGAAATCAGAAATGAAAAAAAGCTAAAGGATATGAAACCCTCGGACCCTTCCATATTCAAACCCCTTAACCTCAATCTCTGATAAAAATATAATATTATAATAAAAACCCTTTTGGTTCTTTGGATCTCTCTCGTCTGTGTTCTCTCTTTGTTACTAGGGTTTTGCTTCGGCTTTTGCTCTGCTCTTATGTAAGTCCCAATCCATTCGCTCTTCTTTACTATCTAAATCTTAATCTCAATCTTTTTGTTCTTATTTACTCTTGTATTCAGAATTCTTCCTTACTTTTTCTTTTTATAAATATATCTCGCTAAATTTTCTGCTTTTCTGGTTTTAAAAATGAGGCATGCATAGTTTTTTTTTTTTTCCTTATTCAATGAATTTGCTAATTTCCATGATATTCTTGAATACCCAGTTCGTAACAAATATCAGATTCCTGTTTGGTTGATTTGGAAGCGCAAGAAAATGGCGAGAATATAGAAAGAAGTTAATTCTTTTAGTTCTGTTTTGTCCCTGGTATAGTTCTAAGATGTCATTTTTATATAAGCTATTGATGTTTAAAAAGAAAAGCAATTCTTATTTCTAAGTTTACAACTGTTCTATGTTAAACCCTTAGTTCTGGGCTTTACAAAAAAAAAAAGGGCTTTTCGTCTTTTTTTTCCTCAAAAATTTTTTTCTTAGGTTTTAGGGTTATTGAATCTGCAATAATTTTTTGCTTTGTTAATTTCGTTTTTTTAGTCTTCAAATGTTCTGATACTTGCGCTTGTTGGCCAGCTTTTCTTCCAAATTTTAGGTTTTCTTTTTTTGTCGCTACCTTATCGTTTGTCCCTTTGATTATTATATCATATGGAATTTGATTCTATTGTCTTTTCCATTTTGGTTTATATTGTTGGGTGCTTTTCCGATTAGTGGGTGTTTTTAAAGATATAAAATAGTTTGAGGAAAATGTAATCCATAATGATAAGCTGAATAAGAGCAAGAAAAATGCATAGAAAATGTCATCTGTAGTGGATATTGGGTAGTTGGTTACTTGTATACTTGGTTTTAATTACTCTGACTATGTTCTTTTAAAACTAAGAGAGCTAGGAGTTATTGATCAAGGATTTCTTGATGAAACAGAACAAACTATAATTTCTTTTTTCCATATGATTTTAGTTTTTTTACGTATGTATGTGTGTGAAGAAAGGGTATTTGTTCAAGATTTTATACAAGTTGAGTTGTCTAATTACTGTTTCATTCTTAATTTCATATGCTGACAGTTTCATTAGTCTGGTAATGGGGAAGAATGTAATTTGGTATCATGGAATTCACGTTATACCTAACTAGGACTTGAGCTTAGAATCTCTCTCTCTCTTTTTGGGGGGGGGGGGGGGTTAATTTCCACCTTTCATCCTCTTAATTTAGAAGCTTTTTCTTATTTTTTTTCTGGTTCAATGTTTTCTCCAATCAAATGTTAATGACAGTCGTGTGGTGGCAAAGTTAGTGAGGAACTTCTATATGTGGAAGTCAGCATGTATAGTCGTTTGTTGTCACAGATGTGAAATTGATTGCATGTGATATATAAGACAACAAAGTTCTTCTATTAGGATTGTACAAAGAATTTACTAGCTATACCTGAATCTATGCTTGAATGTTTTCCCCTGTGGGAAGGACATAATGGATTTTATTGCATTAATTCTATGATGCCATATCAGTAACCATAGAACATCTTTGATGAGTTAACATAGTTGAAACTTAAATCATAATTATCCATGGGTTTACACATTATGCAGTTAGTTTATTATAATCATTATATTGTTGATGTTCTGTTCGTGATGATGCTTCTGTGTTTATTGTGGTCTACAAGGGGACTTTGGATATATGTCTTGTTTTCTTTTTGTGGATTGATGCAGAATCATTTAGTTTTACTCTTTTTCTGTTAAGTTTATGTAGCTATTCCTATGTATATTTCATGTAGCTCACTTATTTGCTCATTGTAATTTAACGAAAAAATTGTTAGTTAGCTGAACACACTCTTTCCATTTGATTGGTGATTGTTCCATTAATAGTAATAACATATATTGTGGTCTTCAGATATCACCAGATGCCAGAAAAATTTAAGTTGCTGAACTTATGTTTGTCTTAATTTGCTATTTTTTCCATTGAGCCATGCACTATGCTCTATTCATATGTTTTAATGAGATTTTTATGGAAATTTGTGCATAGGTTGCGACGTTGGGTGTCTGTTTGTTGGTAAATATCTTTTGCTTTCACATATACTTTGGTGATGAGCATCTGCCTGTTAGGCATCTATTTTATTAGTGATGTGTTATGTTCTTGCAACTAGTCATATACATAGCTCACTGTTCAGTTATTATGGTTTGATGAAAAATTATAAGTTGGCAAGATTCATGTTAATTTGTTTTCTGATCGGTTCATTGGATATATCATTTCCAATGATCTGCAGATATCCTAGTTTGCACAAAAAAAGTCCTCAAGTGTCAGTTTCTTGGTTTGTTGCTGCAATGGGGGATGCAGAAAATTCGCTTCCACCTTCAAAGAAGAGGGCTGCTGGAAGAGAAATTTCTCGGGATAACCCTTGTCTCGGTGATGAGGAAGATTCTTCTGAACAAGAGACTGGAACTTTTAAGAGGGCTAGTGATGAAGTGTTGGCAAACAGAAGAATAGTCAAAGTTCGCAGAAATCAAAACACTGCAACTGCCTCATCCAATCCTTTTTCTGGGATTTGCTTGGTCCCCCCTGTGGAACCGACTGTTACTCCTGCTGCACCTAGTGCGGCCCCTGAATCCAGCACAACCACCACTGAAGTTACAGCTGAAGCACCAATTGCTAGTGATAAAGAAGTTACAGAAGATGGGAAAAATGATGTTAACAAATGTGAAAAGAATGAAGATGGAAATAATCAGCCAGTGGAGAAAAAAGCAGATGAAAAGGATTGTGAGTGTTCGAAGAGTGAAAGTGAGAATATTAAAAAGTCCGAAAGTAAAAAGTATGAGCCAGTTTCTGATGCTATTACTGATAAGGAAAGTGCTGAGGATAAGGGCAGTGATGTTGTAAATGAAGAAACTCAAAAGGAGGCCAATGATGAAAAACCGTCAGGAGTTAAGACCGAGGATGAAGATAAGAAAGATGACAAGACTGCAAATGCGGATAACAATGATAAGAGTAGTGAAAATTCATATTCAACTGCTGAAGTTGCATCATTGAGTTCGTTCCAACAGCTTTCAAGTAGCCAGAATGCCTTCACAGGACTTGCTGGCACTGGATTTTCTGCTTCTTCATTCTCCTTTGGATCTACTCCAAAGGATGGTTCTACTAGTTCTGTTCCACTTTTTGGACAGAAAAATGACCAGCCTTCTTTTGGTTTTGGTCTTTCAACAAATGGAAACTCTTCCCTCTTCAACACATCAGGGACTTCTATTGTCTCTAAGAGCGAGGGAAGTGGTTTTCCAGCCATGCAAGAGGTTCCAGTTGAGACAGGAGAAGAGAATGAGAAAGTGGTATTCTCAGCTGATTCCGTGCTGTTTGAATTCATAGATGCGGGGTGGAAAGAGCGTGGGAAGGGAGAACTTAAGGTGAATGTCTCTACAACTGGGACACAAAGAGCCAGGGTACTCATGAGAGCTAGAGGAAATTACAGATTGATTCTAAATGCAAGTCTTTACCCGGATATGAAGTTGACAAATATGGAAAAGAGAGGTATATCTTTTGCCTGCATGAATAGTACTGGTGAAAAGAAAGAGGGGCTGTCTACATTTGCATTGAAGTTCAAGGATGCTTCCATAGTTGAAGAGTTTCGTGCAGCTGTAATGGCACACAAAGGTAGCACAGCTTCTGTTCTGAAGACACCTGAAAATTCTCCTAGAGCCTCGGAAGGTTGAAAGGTGTCTTCCTTGATCTGGTCTGTCCTGAACTTGCCAGTTGCAGTAGTCCTTTTTCTTTGTGGAAGAAAGGATCTTGCTTGGATATTGCTTATTCCTAAGCCCTTATATGTAGCAGACAGTCAACGGAGACAAAACAAATCCTTTTTGGTTGTAATGTGTAACCTGCGGGAGAATGTTCGTACTTTTTTTTTTTTGGTCAATCCTGGAATGCAATGTTTAACTGTTATATTACAGCTGTGCCCCTGATCTGGGATGCATATGAGGAATTGCAGTGTCGCCTATTTCATATTTTCGTTAGTCCTGAACTTTTCTCTTTATTTTAATTAATTCCCCCATAGATTCTAAGCTCCAGAGATAGAGTTGTATTGTATAGTTGTATCAAAAAGAAAAAAAATAAAATAAAATTGGGTAATGAATACCATCTGTGCCCTTGATAGGGTATGAAATAAATTCGATTAAAGTGTTCAAATAGCCCAAATTAAGAATAAAAATTGAACAAAAGTAAATGGTTAGACAAGAGGAATATCATAAAGTTGAGCATTGGTTTTAAAATTCAAGAAAAACTATTAGACTTAGATATATTATTAAATAAAATGATATAGTTTATTTATTTTAAAATTTTAAAAAATATTTAAATATTATAAAATATATTTAATATATAATAATAAAATTTGTATATATATATATATATATATATATATATATATGTAAGGATCAAATTTAAATTTGATTTTTTTGCAATATCGATCCAAGTAAGATTCTATTTGATGAAACACACTGGTGCAATTTGAAACCTTTCACCATAATGAGGCCTTGTTTGGAAGCCACCAAAGGGTAAGAGCTGCACCGTTGATAATCATTTTTTGGCCTCAATCATATTGCTAATTCGTTTGGCTCTCTTTTGGCATGGCACGGTTGGGTATATTATCAGCTTGCATCTTCGGTTAAGAAACCTTCTGGTGGCCAACTGGAGTGAGTTTTTTTTCCTTTTTATTCTTAATTGCCCTCATATATTAGTGTATTTACTTTTGATTTTTTTAAAAAATTTTAATTTAAGAAATTATAAAATAAAAATTTGAAATTTAATATAAAATGAATTTTATTATATAATAAATTAATAAAATAATAGAATTATTATTATATTAAAAATTAAAAATACCATTATTTTATAATTTAAAAATTTTATTGCATATAAAATTTAATATAATACGTTTAATAATAATTTTTTTTTATTTCAATTTACCTCATAATCATCACTATATTTATCTTCAAATTCATATTTTTATTTTTAATTTTAAATTTATCGTTATAATAATTAATTTTATATTTATCATTATTTTAATCTCACATAAATCAATGTCATCATCCAATTTAAATGGCCCCTAGAGCTTCACTAAAAGGCTAAATTTCCACTAGCCCTTTGAGAACCAGTGGAGACGATTTTGCCAACAATCGGAAATTAGGTTCCTACTGCATTAGTGTGCTACGTCGAACAGAGTCTAAGGGGCTAATTTAGTTTTACTAGTATGGTTGAAAAATATTTAAATTAGAAAAGTACATTTAAAAAATATAATTAAAAAAAATTTAAAATTTAAAATGTTTAAAATGGTTTAGGAAGTAATTCAAATATTAAAAAAAAACATTTAAAATAATCAAATATGAAAAAATGTAAGTTAAATAATTTTTTTCAAATATATATTTTCACTGCAAAAAGAAAATTTTAGCTTGAATTAAAAAACAAAACTTTTAAATTGAAAAATAAAAAATTTTTTATTATTAAATATAACGTATGAATAACAACAACTTTTAAACATAAAATTTACCTTGAATAAGAGTAGTAAATGAGATCTAAACCTGATTAGACCTGACTTTATTATGAATACTTGTAGCTCCTTAGTACTATAACTTGTTTTTGCTGTTTGGCAAGAGTGGGCTAAAAAATAGGAATATGAGGGTAATGTTAGACTTCTCTTCGAAACCACAGAGTCCACCGTTTGGATGCCCCCACTACCCTCTCATGCTGTAGCATATGAGCCCGTGACTCTCCAGATAATAATTCATTTTTCTTTATTTGTGGAAGCCATCCAAAGTTGTCTATATCACATGCCAAACAGATAATTAAGAGTTTATAATTTATATTCTATGTCTTTTTATTTAATATTAATAATTTAAATGATGTCATTTCATTGATCATTAAATATAAATTTTTATAAACTTTTAAAATAAATGCACAATAACTTAATTAAATTTTTTATATTTAATTTATTAATAATATATAAAATTTATTTATTAACAATACATCAAATATAAAATCGAATAAATAATTTTTTATTCCCTACCATTAACCCAAACATTAATTTATCAGACTTTATTCATTACGATTCAATCATTTGGCTAATTATAACAATATCTCAAACTGAACATCATATCTTAAAAGCATATATGGTGAAGAAATCAGTTCGTCTTGGCACATGTCTCTGAGCAAGAATCTACACATCTTCCAACCTTTTGTACACCTAATAATGTATTTAAAAGACATAAACAAAACCTTGAGTTTATACTTTAGAGAAGACAGAGAAAAGAGAGAGTAAAATAGTTACCAGGATTTTCTTTGGAGCTGAGATTTGCGCACAAGGAGACAGCACAACCAAGCTTGCAGAAGTATTGGGTGTCGTCTTTGTTGAGACTTGCCAAATCAGTAGAGCTTGGAATAATACAATCCTTGAGGCACTTGACAGAGCAAGAGAAAACTGTGTTTTCCGTTGTAATAACACACAAAACGAAGCAACCCATATAGCAGCTTTGGAAAGAAGCGGTGGACTGCCCTACTAGAATTCCCGATGCCAAACAAACCATCATCAGTACTCCCTTAATTCCCTCCATTTTTCTTGCTTTTTTCTCCTGTTGTTTGCAATTGTGAAAGAAAGGTAAGGTTGAAACTGTAGTTAGAGCTGCTCTTTCTCTTCTCCAAGAAAGGTACTTTATATAAACCCCAAATGGTAGGTTTATGTAGCAGGAAAGTTCTTCTCAACTTATGCTTGTAGGTCAAATTGTACAATATATCTTTGTACTTTTGTTAAATAATGTATTATTCCTTCTATTTTAATGTATTCAAATTAAATTTTTATTTTTTAATAAATTATTAAATTTAATTAAATTGTTAACTGTTAAATTTTTTTTAATTAAAATTAATGATGTAATATTTTAACTTTTTTGACGTAACATTTTTACTTATATAGCTATTGACTTTACAAATATATCAAGTCCATGTGGTAAAAATAATGAAGTAATAAAATTTTTTTTCATATTAACATTTTTCACATCAAGTTTTCTCAAATTGTACGACTCGTTCCTTTAATTTGGTGAAATGATGAAATTAATTATTTTATTTTAATGTGTATTTAAATTTGGTTTCTATATATAAATTACTTATCAAATTTCATATTGGACCTAAAATAAATAAGATTAAATTAAAATAAAACATAAAAAACATTTTAATACAAATAGATTGAGTAGTAATAAAGTCAATGTATGGATAAACACAGGAGCTATATCAGACCAATCTTCTAAAATAATTTCTTTTTAACTTGTTATAAAAATAAAAAAAATTATTTTTTAAAATTTTCCTCTTTTCTTGTCTCTTTCATCCTCATTTTCCTCTTACTTTTCTTTATATGTCTTATTCAATGAACTCATATTTCAATGTGATTTTTATAAACTAGTAATTAAAAAATTTAACGATCATAGAAAAAATTTATCTAAAAAACTACCAATATCTAAAAATCGATTATCGGCATCATAGTTTTGTATTATTGTTTAAAGCAAAATTGAGTATAATACGATCAAAATTCTAAACCTAAACCTTTAGAAAAGAATTTCTCAAAAAAAAAAAATCAAATTATTTTTGTTGGTTGTCTTTTTTTTTTTTTTTTTGTTATCTTGTCCATTGTTGTTGAATTCTCAAAATTTTCCCAAATCAATCTTTCTTAAAAAATTTTCATTTTTTTCTTATTTTTTCATTTTTCAGTTTTCAATTTCCATTTTTTTTTTTTGCGTTTTTCTAACTTTGACTTCTTAATTTTTACCAACTAAACAATAAATATAAATAAAGAAAAAAATAAATAATAAATATAATAAGCAATTTTAAAAAAAGATGATCTAACAAAAAATTTTATTAATTGATACAATAATTAAAAATAATTACAAAAATAATAATAAATAAAATTAATAAAAGAAAATGCATATATTTAATTATTTAAAAAAATCTACATTTATATAAAAATAAAAAAATGATTTTAATTTCCCTTTTACTAATTTCATATAAATATAAATATAAATATATTCTTTTTATTAATTTTATATATAAAAATTTCTTTTTTATTACATAATGATTAATTATTATATATATAAATATTGTATTTATATTTTAATAAATAATAATTTATAATAATTTATTAGTTATTATTTATTATATTTATTAAAATATAAATATTATTCTAACTATTAAAATATAAAATATAATTTTAGTAAAATGTTAAGTCATTTCATTTCTATGTAGTAATTAATTGTTCTATGAATTTTATATTTTAAAATTAGTAATTTATAATATACTTTATAATTTATAGTTTTATGGTTGAATTATTAAATTATAACTTAAGTTAAAAGTTTGAATATTGAATTTTAAAAATATTTATATTTCTTATAATATTTTTTATTGAATCGACAATTAACCCAATTAACCTGGTGGTTGAACCATTAATTCAATGACTCAAAATTTTAAATGATTTAATATCCGATTCGATTTTAATAATTATGATATTAACTGATTAGTTGAATAATTTATCCTTTCTTTTTGATCGATACTTTTCAATAAATTAAACAATAATATTGTTAAAATTAAAAAAAAAAAAAACTAATGAATGAGAATCCATTCTCAAGAGCATATAAAGAAAATACAATCAAATTATAAGAAGACAAAATTAAAAAAAAACTATATATATATATATATTCTATATGAGAAATTATGAAATATTTTAACAGCTAAATTTTTAACTCTACAAGTAAGGTTAAAATTGTAACACATTTTTTAGTATATAATTAAAAAATAAAAAAATAATTCAAAAAAATAAAATATGTGTTATTATCTTAATTCTATTTATGAAGTTAAAAAATTTTATTGTCAATATATTAAATAACTAGCTTGTAACTCATGCAATGCACAATTTAGTTTATTTATTTAAATATATGTATATACACACAATTTAGTATTATTTACAAAATTATATCAAAGTTTCCAATATTTATAGCATATATCATAATTTATATATAAAATTGATATCTCATAAAAAAATTAAACTTTTTAAAGTAAAATTGAATGCATTTTATTTTGAAAATAATTAGAGATAGCAAAATTTTCCTTTTAATGGTTTTAAAAAATTATAGACATCCCATCACTATTAAAATTTAACTCAAAATCATGAAGAAAAAAAAAAGATGTGTATCAAAATACAAAAAGTAATATCAAATGATGAATTACATCATAAAAGAAATTTTTACATATCTTCATTCATGTGTTTTTAATCATATTGAACAAAATATTAAAACAATTAGCCGATGTTTATCAAAAGAAAAAATGAATTGAAAAAAAATTACTTAAGAAAAAAACAAATAGCTTTAAAAGAAAAGTTGCAAATACTATTATTATTGGATGGTTATTAGAATGCATATATATGCATATCTATATATATAATTGATAATGATTTTTGAATTTAAAAAATTGATATGTATGTTTTTAAATTTTAAAAAATCAAATATTAAAGAATTATATGAAAATTTATAAAGACACATCATTTTTGAGATTTTTGAGTTTAGAAAAATCGGATGGTTTTTCTCTCTCACAAATATATTTAAGTTGTTTGTGTGTGTGTGAGAGAGAGAGATTTTTAGGTATGGAAGCGGGAAAAAGTATGACTAACAAAGCTTTGATTGTAATGGGATGGTGATGGTCATGCTTTTGTTTGCAGGGCTCACAGTTGCAGAGGTAGACCAACAATGCTACGATGAGTGCTTGACTCATTGCGATGTGTTGCTGCCATGAGAACGAATATGCGTCCAACAATGCTTCAATGATTGTTCTCACAACGACACTACTGATAGTAGAATGATGTATGAGCGACTGCTCAAGTAAACATTGATTTTTACCAACGATAAAAATAATAAATGTAGAATCTGCCTTGTATTCTATTGTGATAGACAGAAGATCAATGACTATGCTCTTAATAAAATATGCAATTGGATCAGATTTTAAATTATAATTTGTATAGACACCAAATTTGTCTGGATGTTAATCGTGTCTAGATTGAATATTTATCGGATATCGAGTTTTCAAACTAAGTTTTGATTGCAATTCAATCGGGCCGAGGCCCAATTTCAATTCGACTGAGCTTTAGGGTCGATTTCAATTCAAATAGGCCCAATTTTGATTGGACCCGAAGTCCAATTTCATTTTTAAGCCCAAAACCTGTTTACCTTTTATTTTATTAATTTATTAATTAAACAAAAATACAAAATACAAAGATACAAATACAAAAAAATAGAAAAAAACAAAAAAAAAGAAAAAAACAAAAGGGTCTGATGGTAGTGGTGCATTGCACGTCACTATTGGCCACTCACTCCTCTGATCACCCATACCCTACAAACCTTATCCACCCCATCAGTACTCCTGAACCACTGTCACCCTATGTTCACCTTTTGTTCACTAGAGCTGTAGCCTAATCACCACCATACCTTACCTTCTGATCCCCTGACTCCTGAAACCTACCCCAAACCAACCATCACCTGCTCCCCCAACTAGCCCTATAAAATCCATAACTCAGAAAAAGACCAAAAAGGGGTCCACGTCCAAAACTAGGCTACCATACATTTAGTCCCAACACTCAACCCAGCTTATGCTAACAACTACGCACCACAACCCCAGATACCCTAGTGAAAACCCAACTATCCATCAAACCACAAGCATAAAAAAAAAATAAAATCAACAAAAAATACAGTCCTCGCCCAATCGACGAGAAACCCAATGCCAAGGAGAATACCCTGCCAAAAAAATAAAAAAAGAGAAAAGTTTTCTGCCAGAAAAACAACAAAAAAAATAAAAAAAATTAACTCAGTCCCTTGGAATGAGGAACCTAGCACCGAGACCATTGCAAAAGAAGAAGCAAAGCTAGTAAAAAAAAAGTCAGAATAAAAAAAAAAGAGTTTGGCCAAAAGTTAGAAGGCAAATCTAGGGGATTTGAAACATTTTTTGGTAAAAAAGAGGTCAAATCTGTGTTCAAGAGATCGAGAGGAGTTTGTGGGTGTTTTTTAAAATTTTTCAACATCGACAACGACGGTTGGAACCCGTTGCCAACGACGACCACGATGGTCGTCACAACCGACACTCACTTACCCCAAATCGATCTAAAAAAAGAGGAGAGAGAGAGAGAGATTTTTTTCAGAGAGAAGGGGAAAAATAAAGTAAAAATTTTTTTTGACTTTTCTATAAACTGCCAATAACCAAAATGACGTTGTTTCATTTAAACACCAAAACGAGGTCGAATCTGTATTCATGAGGTCGAGAGGAGTTTGTGGGTATTTTTTAAAATTTTTCAACATCGACGACAGCGGTTGGAACCCTTTAAGTGCGAGGACCACGGCGGTCGTCACGACCGACGGTCACCAGCCCCAGATCGATCTAAAAAAAAAGAGAGAGATTTTTTTCGGGGAGAGGGGAGAAATGAAGTAAAATTTTTTTTTTTGGCTTTTCTATAAACTGCCAATAGCCAAAACGACGTTGTTTCATTTAAACACTAAAACGATGTCATTTTAAGCCCAGGATCCGCGCGTCAACCTGTTGACCTGACCCGGGATCATCGTAACAAACCCGACTACCCGACGACCCGACTCACCATTTTTCCTGATCGATCTAGATAAATTGGCCCAAACTGAACTAGACCGATGCCAAATCGTCAAACCACTTAGATCGAACCGAGCCACAGAATCAACC